CCTCGTGGGGCTCAGGAGGGTTTAGGTGGACGGAGCTCCAAGGCAGGGGCCCACAGCTCCTGCCCAGCCCCGCTGACGGACACCCCCAGGCTGGGGCTGGCTCGGAAACTGGGCCTACACTCCTAGGCGGGGCTTTTGCGGGGAAGGGTCCGGGAGAGAGTGACCAAATGCACCGAGTGTGCGCGTGGAGGGCGGTTCCTGCCGCTCCCTGGCTCTGAGCCTCTGCCCACTTCACTGTCCATCCCTCGCCCCCGGGAGAGGACGGCACCTACGAGAGGGCTTCCCTGAGAATTAAACCCACTTAGGACATGGCCCCGGCGGGTGACAAACCCTACTCACCAGGGGTGGTTATTCCGTCCCCGTAACTGACTGGGGCTGAAGAATCATGGGGCCCCCGCCAGCACAGAATGTGCCCGGCATGTCCGAGGTGCGAGGCCCCGGGCATCAGGGACGGGGGGACGGCAGGGTGGGGTGGGGTGGGCGCTCCAAAGAACTTTCCTGCTGTAAAAATCAGAGGGGACCCTGCAGTGTTAGGAACGGGAGTGTATTATTGCCAAGAGGGAAGGGTCGCTTATTTTAGGGAGCACATGGCTCCCCTCCCTGCCGCCCCCAACGCCCCGTGTTAGGGTCTCCTCCCCTTCCCTTCTCCCCGACGGTGTGCGCCGGAGCGTGGACACTCAGCATTCCGCAGACCCACTTCCTTTCCTCGGTTAAAATCATCTCTCATCTCAGCGCCTTTCCGAGGAGGACCGGGGGTCTCCCACCTCCGCGCTCCCGGGACGTTCAGCGGGGCCTCGGGAGGAGGAGGAAACAACCTCGGCGCCCTGCCCGTGCGGGTGTCGAGTGCCGTTTGAAAGACCCCTCTGAGCAATGTCGCTGCTTCTGCCTGGGCTCTCGGTCCCATCCCTGCTGACGGTGTCGTACCTGTTTTTGGCGGGAAAATCCACACCGTCACTCGGGTGGACGGAGACTTCGTTTCTCTTTAACCGACCTGAGGTGGCCGAGGAGCCTCCATTTTGACCAAAGGCAGAAACAACTAAACAACGTGAGCTTTTTTCCATTTCTACAGTTGGCCAAACAAAAAACAAAAAACAAAAACAAAAACAAAAAAAAAAAACCAACAAAAAACAGAAACCAAATCTTTTTCCATTTCTTCTAATGGTGAAAAAAAATGAAATCTTGCCATGTCCAGGTAACGCGGTATCTTCCCATAGAAAGTGTAGGCTATCCGTTTATTGCTTTGGCAAGGCGGGATTTAAACCCAGGCAGTTCAGCTGAAATTCCTTGATCGGAGCTGTTGGTTTTTTCCTCACAGATCCTCTCCCCCCGCCCTCTCTACCCCAAGGTGGTGCCTGGGTGCAATGGGGCATGTACAGGCCATCCCCGGGGCAGGTGAGGAGGCCTGTCCTGCGGGTCTTAACCGTGGCCACAGCTGAGATAACACGTTCCCTCAGGCTGGGCCTCTGGGTGGGCAGCTGTCTGCCCCTGGGCCACCCCCAGGCCACCTCTGTCCAGGGCCTCCCCAGCACAGCTGTGCTCTCAGTTCATCGGGAGCTGGTGGCCCCTTGAGACCCCTTCTCTCCATCCCCACGGGGCTCAGCCGGCCCCAGAGCTCCCGGGGGCGAGGGGACTCAGTCCCTGAACCCCAGGGTTGAATTCGGGGAGCCTCTCTTCCTCCTGCCCACCCTCTTCCCTCTCTACTCCCCTTCCCTGCCTTCAGCAAGAACTTATTTCTCTGGAAACAGCCCTTCCCTCTCCACAGCTCGTAATAAAATCGTGACGCTCTGAGTTCTTCAAGCTCTGGTTCCTAGGAACCCAGAAGTTTCAGTGACTCTCACGCTCTCTCTCTCTTCTCTCTCTCTCGCTCTCTGTGTCAAATCTCATAAAAGCTTCTCTGGCTCGGGCACAAAAGCCAGAAAGCCTTGGCGTTCACAGCACTTCCCAACTGAAATGGCATTAGTTTGGAACCGAAAAGCTAAACATTGGATGCTTTGTTCCCGTGCAGGTTCCATCCTCCTCTCCCTAAGTAAGCGAGGCTGCAGCTCCCCAGGTCGAGCGCCCAGGCCGCCAAAGCGACCGGGATGGCAAGCGCCCTGGGTGTTGTTTCAGCATGTCACCCCGCTGGGTGTGTCCACGGAGACAGCTGCCCAAGCCCTGGTGTGGATGTGCCCTGTGCCCACGCCGGGGGGAGCCGCCCTTGGGCCTCGGGCTGCACAGACGCAGCCGGAGAGCCGGGCGCTCGGGCCGCAGTCAGGGAAGGCTTGCCCAAGGCTCTCACCACGCCGCGTTCTCAGGCGAGACGCTGGGTTTCGGGTTCACTCGCTGATGGAGTGTGATAAGCCTGTTGGTCTCCTTCCAGCTCCAAGAAAACCTGAGCGGGCAGAGCGGCCAGGGTCCCTTGCTTGGCACAGGTGGAGGCAGATGGCGGGTGGGGGGTTCCCTGATTGGGTCGCTGCGCGCGTGCAAGGCACACCCATGAGAGCACTGGGAGGTGGTGGCTTGGAGAAGGGCAGGCCCCCCGTGGCCTGTCCGTCCGCGCAGGGAGCTTTTGGGATGCGAGGGAAAGATGTATCAGCAGCCCGGGGTCAGTGTGATTAGGTCTTTGGCAGCACTCAGCGGTGTCATAGATCCTGGAGGCGGTGACGTCAGGGGGTGGGGACAGCTCACGGGCTGGGCTTTGGAGCCCTGATGTCACATTTGGGCTCCTTTTCAGAAAGAGGAGCATTTGTGGGACACCCACTGGCACCCTTCTAGCATTACTGACATTTTGTGTTTAAGGCGGGGCCCCCCAAGACTGCCCGGTGGTTTGGAACAGTGGGGACCCACCTCTGAGGCCACGGGTCCCCTTTGGGGGCCTTAGCAAACTGGAGTGGGGGGACCTCATCTCCCAGACGCACTGAGTCGCTATCCACAGCCTCTCCTAGAAGGCGTTCTACGTTCAGAAATCCATAGGCCGAGATAATCTGGGGCGCTTTCCCCCCCAAATCTTCTAGTTTGACTATTTGAGAAAATAGAATAGTTTCATTTATTTTATAAAATTAACATGATACCAAGACCTGACCAGAATATAAAAAGAAAGTAATTTCATCTTTAAATACAAATACGAAACTCTTAAATAGCAACGAACTCAGTCTAGCCATAGGATAACAGTATGCACCGCGTAAATCTGTGGTGTCCGCAAGGCATGCCATCGACATTCGTTTTTTTAAGAATCTTATAAAATTAATCCTATGAGTAGTCAAAAATATGGCCCAGTTAAAATCAAAATGAGATTTTTGTGGGGGGAAACTTGATACGTTGCTCCTGAAGCTTACCTGGTTGAATGGTTTTGTGAAAATAGGAAATTTTGAAATAGAAATGTAAGGACAGGGACACGCTTTACTAGTTGTTAACATTTATTTTAAAGCCACAATATTTTAAACAATATGGCGGTCACCGAAATGGATCAGAGAAGCAAGATACAAAAATCTTAAAATAGGTCTAAGTGCTTATGATGATTAAATATACAAAAAAGATAAAAGTGGGGGAAAGAATGGGTTGTATAATAAAATGTGAGGAGATAATTGCTGATACATTATTAAAACAAATAATACCTCACTTTGCCAAATCCCACATAGATGACAAGGAAAAGTTCATGTGAAAAATTAAATTAAAAAACTGGGATAAATCTAGTTGAACATTTATGTATAAATGTGGAAGAGAAACCATGAATGAAACATTTGATCAATTTGACTGGTGATGCTGTTAGAAATTTCTGTATGTGCCAGAAACCAGAACCCCCTTTCTCAAAACAAAATAGACAACCCAGATGGTAAGCTGGTAAACATGCTCGGACAGATAAAGGCTTAATATTTACAGTATAACAGCGTTCAGTGTAAAGAATGACAGATAAATAAATAGCTAATAAATGTTAAAAGTCCTGGAAAAATTTATGTTCTAGGGATAGCACAGTCCTTCCTAGAGGTTTACCCTCAGGAATAATTGTACACGTTTGTAAATACATGTGTATTAGGGTAATTTTCACCGTTATCTATGAAAGCAAGAAAAAGCAGAAGAAAAAATAGGAAGGAATGAAGGAAGGAAGAGAGGGGAAAGAAGGGAGGACGGAAGGAAGGAAGATGAAAGGGTTCTCACATATCCAATACTGTATCGGTAAAGGCGTTATGTTCTAGTAACAGAGTTGACAACTGGTCAGTGATGAAAAGTAACCTGGAAAGATGCTCACTATAATATATAGAAAGTTTTTTTTTAAATGAAAATGACTGTATGTAAGTACATCCGCAAACACATCCATAAAGCTGCCTGGCAGCTTTTACGCAAGAATGCGAGTTCAATGTCGGTTGTGTCTGTGTTAGTGGGTTACAGCTGCCTCTTCTTAATTTTGCGTGTGTCTTTGTCCTTTTGTTTTCTCATTTTCTACCATATCCGTGTTTTAGTTTTGAAATTTAAAAAGTATTTCTTTTTAAAAACGTTACCCTGAGAACTCCGGGGTCAGTACCCTCTGACCCTGGGACCTCCCGTGAAGTCAGGCCGGCCTGTAAGGGTTCAAGCTCCTGGTCGCTGGCTCCGGGGCCATCCCCGCACACCCAGGCCTTTCCTGCTGCCCTCCCTTCCAAGCGTCTGAGCCATGAGTGACGCCGCCTCATTTTGGTCCTTTCAGTGTTTTACGCGCAGCGTCCAGTCTCCACAGAGAAACTCGAAGCCCCTGAGGGCGGGGGCTGGTCCTGCAGCTGCAGACGTCCCTGGGGCCGGGCAGGGCTGTGTGGCTGCTTCAGGAGGGCAGGCTGGGCTGGCATTCCTGGCTGGGAGACCAAGGAGAGAAGCGCTGGGCCCTGGAGGTCAGGAGGGTGCCTCTGGGATAGCTGAGGAGGACAGAGGCCACAAGCCAGCCCCGGGGGGCTGGGCGGAGAAAGGCAAGGGCCAGCCCCCGCCTCGGCAGGTCTCCGTGTATAACCGGTCATGTTAACGTGTGCTTTTTTGTCTCCATGTGGTGCGGACAGGCTCCCACGCTCCCCTGGACCAGCCCTGCTGCCGTGGCCTGTATGACTTTGAGCCAGAAAACCAAGGAGAATTAGGATTTAAAGAAGGGGACATCATTACGCTCACGAATCAGATCGACGAGAACTGGTACGAAGGGATGCTGCGCGGGGAGTCCGGATTCTTCCCCATTAATTATGTGGACGTGATTGTGCCTTTACCTCAGTGAACGCGTGCTCAGACTCCGGACGCGCTCTCGTAACCGAGATGAGTTCCCACCCGTGCTCTCCCCGCGTGGCGGTCTGGGACAACCTCCTGCTGTGACCGGCTTCACGACTTTTTGTATGTGTGTTCCCTTTATAACGTATTTTATATCAATTTCATTTGTATAAATGACCTCCTTGTCGTAGTTACACGAAGACGCAGTTTTCTTTTTTTTTTTTGCTTGTTGCCCTACAAGCCATTGGTTCTACAAATGGATGTCCTTGTGGTTGCTAAAAATAAACCGCACCCATTGCAGTTACGTCAGCGAATTGCCAAACGCAAAATTCAAAACGAAGAAATGCTGAATACTCTCTTTCCTGACATGACTGAGGGCAGCTGGTGGTCCCCCTGCGTCGTGTTTTTGCTGACCTTAAATAGCCCAATAAATGCGACAGTGTGTTGGTGCGTGGCCTTGGTTATTCTTAACGTTGAGTTGATTTGTAAGCGCCGTGTTCCAGCTGCCAACTCCCGTGCCCCGCAGCTGACCGGGAGCACAGCAGGGATGCTGAGCTGCTGGCTCCTGACCTCGTCAGCAGGCCCCTGAGTGGGCCTTCACGCTGCGCCCGACTCGAACGCTCACACCTCCTTCCGGATCGGGCTCAGGTCTGTCCCTGCTCGGTCGGGTTCATCTCTATAACAGCCTCACTCAAGCTTCCCTCCAGCTCCACCCAGAGCAGCTGCGATTGGATTCCTGAGTTTAGCGAGAAGCGTATGGGTCGACCAGAGGCTCCCTCTCCTCCTCCCTGTAGGACTTGGCCTGTCTGCCGAGAGCCACGTTCTGCATCCCTCCTGGCCACGCTGTGCGCTTAGAGATAAAGACCCCGCCCTAGAAGTGGGGCCTGGGGTGCTCCGGGCCCCTGACAGGGTGGCTCAGTGCGGGCGATTGTGGGGGTCGGACTGACACGGCCCAGGGAGCTGAGCTACACGTTCTGATTTCACCTCCAGGAATAACACGGGTTTGGTTTCCGTATTTCTCATCTGTTGTCTTCTCGCTTGGTTTTTAATCGGGCCTCTTTAAATGCCAACGTCTGGCATACGTGTGCAGGGACGTTGGGGCTGGTGTGGGTGGGCGTGTTCAGGCGTTACAGTGGCCCACGGGAGAGGCTGGCACTGGGGCCCGGGCAGGTGCCCGTGGACATTGGCATACGGGCAATTGTGTCTTTCTCTGTGACAACTTTCTGTGGTCTCTGCTCAGGCCCGCCGCTCAGCTGTCCAGACGTTGCACACGTTGGATAGTTTTCCCTCCCTCTGTTGTGTTTGGTCAGTTAGGCCTGTCAACCACGAGGCTGTTTCCCCCACTGGGCGGATGAGCATTGATTTCCCACCCAGGTCCGCGGCAGGCGGACCCAGCGGCACCCCGACTTTTCTGCACGAACATGCCGTCCGTGGCCGCCCACCCCACCCCGCCATGCACACACACTTGTTGTGTTTGTCGGTCTTGGAGGTTCCGATGGCAACGCTACCTATAGAAATGTGGGCTTTAGTATTAGACAAAAAAGACAAGAGGGCTTCTGTTTTGTTGGAAAAAAGGCTGCCTCTCATGTATCTTCGCCCTGGGAGTTTGCTTGTGTGGGAACCTTGTGCCGGGTAGTTCAGATGGTTTAGGTAAGAGCTGCCCAGCTCTCCCTGTGCGCTAAGTCCGAGCTCCTTCAGAAAAACGCCCGGCCTTCCCCCCTGCCTTGTGACTTAAGTGATTGGGGCAGGCCTGGGCCTCGCTCATTTTTTAAAACCCTCAGCTGATCCTAAGGTGCAGTTGGGACTGAGGACAGGGCTTTAGGTGAGTAGAGGACGGTGCCTTGAGCAATATCGGGGGTTAACAAGGCAAGTGTGTCTGTGCTTCCAACCAATGGGAGCCCTGTCCCTCCTGAGATGAACAGAGGCATCTGACACGGGTCAGACAGACGGGAGCTGATGTCTAACCTGCCATCTAAGACGCTGAGTCAGAGCGAGTAGCCTTGGCTGAGAGCCGAGCGGTCTGCTGGCTGGGCCCACGGCCATCAGACACCCCCCTAGTCCCGCAGGGACAGAGCCCTTCCCACTGACTTTACTCCGTGGCTGCAGGTGGAATCAAGAACACGTCTGTCCTGCTGCATCTCTGATGGCAGAGAGGGGATGGCAATATGGCGCACCTGTCTTAGTTACTCTCTTTTATACTTGTCACATGATTTATTTCCAGACTGGTCTTCCTCTTGACAGGGTCAAAGGAGGCGCTCACAGCGCACAGCTCTCTTCCCTTGTCCTGGGGTGGGGGCGGGCATTGTTGCCATGGCTACAGCTGCATCTGGAGCCTCTGAGTCTCATTTGTGGGATGACTCCCTTCCCCAGTTCTGAGCATTAATATAGAAATTTCTGTCATCTCCATGTGGTGATTTCAGTGGGGGACTGGGTGGCTTGAGGCAACCATTTGGGCTCAAATCGCCTTCTTGGATCAGAAGTCTTACCTGACCTGAAACTTCACGTCAGTAACAGTTTTTAAAGATTTCTCCTTCATTTGCTTTATTTGTGCTTGGCAGGACATGGGACGTTTTGTTCCCAGTTTGCCTGACCCCACACATGAATTTGGTGATATTTGTTTCATGACGTCTTTTGGTTTCTTTCTTATTTTTTCAAAACAACAATAAAAATACACTGCCCGGCCCACAATTCATGAAGTAGCATTTAGCAATTTCATGGGAAACGCAGAGTGAGGCCCACTCTTGCTTTGATGGTAAACCAAAGGCCCCGGCTGGGATTGTGTCAGACTGACCTTGGAGGGTTCAGGGCCTGCGGGGCGTGTCTTTCAGGCTCAAGTCCACAGTGGAAGAGCGAGGACCCGAGCTGAGGGAACATCGTTTGGCTGGAGCCGCTGAGCCATAGCAGCGAATGGCGCAGACAGGTAGACGTCAAAAGTGGGTCCCAGTCATCGCTTCTTGGTTTTGTGTTTTTAAGAAAAAGAGCTTTCATGTTTTTGCCCATTTAGAGGGAATTTTAACATATTCCCTGCGCATTACAGAACATTGAGAAATTCCTGATAATCGGAAGTACAGGTAGAGGGTGGATGGATGGGTAGCCAGTTTGTACCTGCACTCTCAGCTCCTGCAGCTTCAGGGACGCATCCCGTGCTGTCAAGTCACAGAACAAAATCGCCAGCCCAGGCGGTCTTCCTGGTTCTAGACCCCCAGGCGTTTCCAACTCACAGGGCTCCTGGTGAAGCCATCCTCTCGGCTCTGCCCTCCCCCCCCCACGTTCCTCCTGCTCTTGTGTTTCCCACATCAGTGAATAACGCTGGCAGCCACCACGCCTGGCCCATGTCAGAAATTGGGGCAGCAGGTTGGACTTGTCTCCCTCCCTCCTGTAAGTCCCAAAGTCGCATCGGTTCTACCTAACCACTCTCAAATCGAACTTTTCTTTGTTTCCCCACTACCGCTGATGCAGGATCGGGCCTGCATTTTTCCCATCGAATCTCATTTGCTCCTTATGCCATTGTGCTCCGAAGACTTAGCACACGCCTGGCGCAAAGTAGGCCATTGGTTGATGCCTATCCCACTGCACGGCGCGCAGCCGAGTTGTTCTTTAGGCCGAAAGCTGACCGCACGTGGACGGCGGGATCTGTGGAAAATGGGTTCTTCGCACTCATCCATATAGAACACTTCTTGCTGGGGCCTTGGTAAACAAGGGATAAAAATGCTTAATTGGCTATTTAAATCCTCCCAACGTTAAGTGTGTTTTGCAAAACTTAATACATGGAAATGTTTTTATTGAACTTATAGTTGAGAAAAGGCTTCTCAAGTATTCCTTTGTGGTGTGTCCAACCCAAATATTGCCAAGTGGAGAGAGTCAGGGCCGCGCAGGGACGCAGACCAAACAGGCGGGGCCTGTTCCGTGGGGCAGGGTGAGCGACCCGCAGTCAGCCCCGGAGAGGACGCTTCTGTGCCCAGCTCTTCCTGATGACTTGCGAGAAAACGGGTGTCCACTTTCAAACAGTAAAGTGTACGGAGTACCTTGCACTCTGTTCGCGTGCTCAAATTAATTGCTTCTACAGTAAAACCCTGGCTTCCTCGAGAGGTCGGAGGTGATGTGCTCGACATGACCTTTGCAGACAGCCAAGTGTGAAGAATAGTTGAAGGCCTATGTATTGCTTGGTGGTGTTTTCTTTTTCTTACACGTAACCCTTTTGTGAGTGAACATTTTTCTAAAAGGTAGCACGTGCTTCCGTTCCTCTCTGGACAGTCAGTCATGGGCAGGAGCGTTGATAGGTAAGCTGGACGCACCACCCTGAGCCCAGTACTGTGCGGTGACACACAGATCTCAGGTGGAGAAAACGCCAGCGGACAGACGACAGGATTTGTTCCTTCTTTGGAGCCTCGTGTAGCATTTCTGTAGTGCGGTTCTGTTGTCTGTGTGCCTTCTCCTAGCCGGCAGGGTGTCTCTATCTTAGGCCCTCTGATTTACTCTTGAAAGCTAGATATGAACGAGACATTAGAACTATGTGCAAAGCAAGAGTCCGTGGTCTGGAGGGAGACCTCGTGGCTGCCCCGTGCCGTCAGTGGACCTGAGGTCGCGGGAGGCCTGGCAGCTCTTCCTGCGCTGCTATGGTGGCCTGAGGGTGAGACAGCTAGTGCCACACTCAGATAAAAAGCCATTTATCCAGGCAAAGTATACAAACGATCCCAGAAGCTACGCTGGAAGAACCTACTGAAACTTCCTAATTTTGCACGTTCGGGATGTTAATGGAGAACGTTGACAGTCAGGGAAGACGCGAATACGTTTCATGAAGCAAATTTCTTTCCCAAGGAAGGACCCCACTCTGGACAGGGAGAACGTGGTCACCAGCTGAGCCTACCTTCTGCGTAAGATCTGCCTCTTGCCTACATGTCAGAGACTCCTCTCTCCCCTCAGCATCGCTGACTGTCCCCAACCAGAGAAGCCCAGGGCAACCTTGGCACGCAGAGCTCTCATGGGGTAGTTAGGTGGTGAACGTGGGAGGGGACCCGGGAGGTCCAGCCAGCTGTCCCCGAGTGCCCTCAGCTCTCCAGAGCTCCCTGTTCTCCTAACCCGTGGAGCTTCAGCCACACAGGCAGGACTGCTGGACCTGCTAGGTGAGCAGGAAGGCAGAACTTCCAGCAGGGTATTGGCAATGGCTTCTGCTTCCTCGCCTGACCAACTGTTTCTTGAGTGGGTTTGCTTGATACTAGACAGAGAGAGGGTCAGTCCCGGCCTCCGGACTTAGTGTGAGGCACCCGCAGGAGGGAGGCCGGCTCAAGAATCGGAGCTGCTGGAGGGAAAAAGAGACAGGAAGTCCCGCTGAGCCATTCATACCTTAGAGCCCAGTGGCTCCAATGTTACCAACGAGCTCCCCCCGCCCCGACTCCAAAGGCCTTCTCCGTGTCTTCTTGAATTGCACGCGCTGGGAACTCCGCTCCACACAGCTGCCACTGCGAAGCATAATATCTCTTTGAATTCTCCATTTCCTCTTGAATATTCATGTGATTTTTGCACCAGACCCCATGATACGCCAGGGCCGGTTTGAGGATGTGAGTGATGTGAACAGTGCTCGAGTCTGGTTGCTGAGAACACACGGTGCTAAGCCGTTCTGCATCCGCCTCCTTATTTGTAAAATGGAGTGAAAATCACACCTGCCCGGTAGGCCAGAGCGATGACTGAGTTAATACAAGTCAAGGGCCTGGTGCATCGAGTTCTCAAAGTTCCTCGTTGTTCCTCTCCCGACACCCTGGTCTGAGCGGCACACCCAGTCAGCCCTCCGTGTTTGCAGATTCTGCATTTGTGACTTCACCTACTGGTTACATTTTATTTGCAGTCCCCAAATCAATACATGCAGCCCTTTCATGTCATTGGAGGAGGGGGGAGAATTTGGAGTTGCCTGCTCTGTGTGTTGCCAGCGGACATAGAACAAGGCAACACATGGGCTTCTTGTCAGCAAGTGTCCTTTTATTTAACACTAAAAAATTATTTATTGATTTTAGAGAGGAAAGGGGGGGGGGAGAGAGACATCGACTCGTTCCACTTATTGACGTACTTGTTGGTTCATCCTTTATGTGTCCTGACCAGGGATCGAACCCATAACCTTGGCGTATCTGCACGACACTCTAACCAACTGAGCTAGCTGGCCAGGACCCTAACGAGTGTCCTTTTATGGCCTATGTTAAGGCACTTTTCACATTTTTATCTTTTATGGGTGATTTCACTGCTTAAAGGGGCCCCCAGGAGCAGTGCTGCGGTGCTCTCTGGCCCTAAGCAGACGAAGGCTGGCCTGGCCCTATGGAGCAAATCCTGCCTTACGTGAGTAAGATACCTGTGTCCGATAAGCTTCCTTCAGGCATGAGGTGCCGTGCTGTGAGTTCAATGTTAGTGAATGAGCAATATAGGTTAAATAACATGTTTTGAAAGAGAAACACACAACCAATGACATGTATCGGGTGACAAAACGGTGTGACCAGAGGCTAGCAGGAACCTAATTCCGTAATTCCCCAAGGAGCTATGGTTCCGTGTTGACAAATTCCGCCACTTTATGGAACATATAACCACGGTGACTGAGGAGACTCAAAGGTGCACAGGTGGACTCGGCCAGATTCAGCCCAACCCTCCAGCACCCACTGAGGGGCCTCCCTGTCTCCTGCCCCTCTGGCCCCTTCACACTGAATGCCTGCCCTCTGCTCCCTTCCCGCCAGGTTCCAGGCGTTCTGCATGGGGCGGGGAGATGGTCTTGAGATCCTCCTCTTGGCCACAGGAAGTCACCAGACTGAGGAAGGGACATAAGGACGCAGGCAGACAGGGCCAGCTCCTTTGGTAAAAAGCTGTAACGCCACCGGGAATGTGCCAACCACAGAAGAGCTACAGGTTCCAATCCTGGCTTTGCGTATCACTCTGTGCCGGTTATGACTCCCCTGAGCCTGCATCTTCCTGGGCGAAATGGGACTGAGGCCACTAACCGATGCCACAGGTGCACTTAGCGGCACGCGAGGGCGTCGGCACAGCGGCCGGCACACACTGCGCACCCAAGCAAATGCTGGCCGTGGTGCTTGGGTGGGGGCATACAACGGACTTCAGTGCAATCCCCTGTCCTTTGGCTTTATACCACCGAGGCTGGGCCAACGCCGGCAACAAACATTTCGCCCTAGTTCTCTTCACTTCTAAAAGTCCGCAGGAAATTCACCCTGGTCCCGGACACCCCTTCCCCATTCCCACCCCAAATCACAGGCCTGGACGCCCCACTGCTGGGGCAGCCAAGCTCGGCTCCTATGAGGTGGCTCCTGGTCTCTGGCAGCCAGGTGTCGGCGGGCGGCGAGCTCACTGGAGTCCCGCGGCCCCTGCGCCGGGCGCCGGGAGGGGCACCGGTCTCCGGCTTCAGTCATGCCTGGCCGAGAGCGCCTGAGCACAGGCACGAGCCAGCGGTTCCGGGCAAACGTCCGTGTGGCCGCTGGGCCGGCAGAGCAGAGCCGGCGCCCGGGCCGAGCCGGGTGGGGGTGGGGGCGGCATCCCCACTCGGGCTCCGGCGGGGGCGGGGCGCCCCGGCTGGCTCGCGCGCGGCCGCCTTTCCCCAGCGCGGCCGCCGGCGGCGTCGGCGTCGGCGTCGGCGTCGGCAACCCCGGCTCTGGCACCACGCCTGGCGGCCGGCCCGGGCGAGGAGTGGCTTCCAGGAAGCGGGCGCAGGAGCGTTCCAGCCGCGTCTCGCCGTCGCCGCGGCCCCGCGCGCTCCGAGCGCCGGGCCGGGCCCCTCGCGCTCCCTGCGCGCCGACGACCCCGCGCGGGCGGAGGGCGCCGGCGGGCGGCGCCGGGCGCGCCGTGCACTTGCCGGGCGGTGCAGGTGGCGGCGCGCGCCCTGCGCTCTGGGCCGGGGCCAGCGCTGCGCCGCGCGCCCGCAGGGGCGGGGGAGGCGGGGCGGCCCGTCCCGGCCCCATTTAACTTCGCGGCGGCGGCGCGGCGGGCTGGAGGCCGGCGAAGGGGAAGGTCCGGGCCCGCAGTGCGCACCAGGGGTCGACGGGGCCGCCTGGCCGTCTCTCCTCAGCGCGCGCCCAGCCCGCGCCGCCCGCACTGCCTGTTCCAGAAGCGTCCGCGGCGCCAGGTGGGTGCTCGGCGCGGGAACGAGGGCGGCTCTCCCAGCGGGTAAGACCCGGGTCGGGGACGCTGTGGACTTATTTGACAATTCCAACTTTAAAAATAAAGATGTCAGTGACTTGGCAATGCTAAAACAGAGAGAAAAAAAAAAAAAACAAACCCCAAACTGAACCCCTCCGCGGAGTCTGGAGGCTTCGGGGAGGGACGTGCGGGGCTCTGCGCGGGCGGAGGGGCGCTCTGGAGTGCTTTTTGAGGGAGGTCTTTCAGGTTTGGGGGGCGTCTAGTTAGAAACGGGTGGACGGCAGCCAGAAGCCTCGGGCGTCGGAAGGTCCCGCAGGTTGGCCTCGCGGGGTGACAGGGCGCGGCGGCGGCCGCCGGAGGAGCGACAACGTGGCCGCGGGCAGCCGAGGCCGCGCGCCGCCGGGGCGGCCGTGCCCGTGAGCGGGTGCGGGGCGCGGGGTCCCCGGCCCGCCGCCTCCCTGCAGCCCGGAGGTGCCGCCCCGGGTCGGAAGCAGCAGCACATTTGCGGATCGCATTAGGCCGGGCCCTTAATGCTTTCTCCAGATGGAGAGGAGCCACCGACCCGCCCCCGGACACCGGCTCCGCCAAGGCGCCCGCGAGGCGAAGCGCTGGGCGAGGGTGACTTCGGCTTTTCCAGTCTCGGCTCGCCCTGATTTGGCCGCGAATTCTCGGGGGGACTCTGAAGCACTCCCCACGGCCCTCCGGGTGTCACCGGGTCTCTGCGGGCTTCCCTCCGCCCCCGCTTCGGGAGGCCGCTGGCTGCCTCGCCGGCCTCTCCGGCTGCAGCTTGGGGCGCTGAGGGCGCCCCGTGTCATCGGCGGGCAAAGCCTTGAGCTTTCAGAAGGTTTGCACTGCAGCCCGGGAATTGTCACCACCTTGCTGTGGGACCTCAGGCAGGTCCCTTCCCCTCTTTGGGGTGGCTTTGTTGGCCTTAGACTCATTTTTTGCCTGAAGTAGCAGAAGCTGGCAGGTGCCCTGCCCCTTGGCTCCGTGTTGGCTTCCTGAGTTGTTTGCCAATAGCCACACCCTGCTGCCGACAGAGGAGTTGGAAAGTGGCTGGTGCGGAGATGCCGCGGCCTCTGGAGAACCCGCCGCGCGCTGCGCACATGAGGCAGGTCCAACTGCCCTCCTGACCTGGATGTGGACTCAGCCCACAGAGAGCCCCAGGCAGCCTGTGCCCTGTGGGAGGCGGCCCCATCCTGGACCAACGCGAACCTTTCCAACCTCACTCTGACGGAAGGGAGCTGCACCTGGGGCCGGAGCTGGTAGGAAACCAACTATTTCCTCTTTTATAGGCTTCACCTGAGACCCTCCAGGACACCAGACCCCATGGCTTCCTGCAAGGGCCCCTGGTGGCTGCTGCTATGGATGGTCTTCCCGCCCTCTGCTCGCCTGCAGGTAACAGGGAGGGAGAGGGGCACGGGATGCAGCCTCTGTTTACTCAGGAGCTTTATTCTAGGTCCCCTGAGGTACCAGAGAGAGTATAATCTTTTCTCTGGCCTCCGACCTGGTCTCCTAGGTTGACTTCCCTATGAGAATAACCCCAGTCCTTTGGGTCCTCCCTGAGTCCTGGGCAAGGGCTTTAATGCCACGGTGGGTTCCATGTGCCAGAGGTGACTTGGGACAGTCTAGAGTAGCTGTCTGCTGGGAGCCCGGCCCAAGGAATGGGGAGAGTTCAGGGTCTGGCGTTAGCTCAGCTGCTAAGTAAGTATTCTAAGTTTACCTCTGTCAACACACACCACTCTCTCTTGCGTTTTTTTTTTTGTTGTTGTTGTTGTTTGTTTGTTTGTTTTAAGAGTCCTGTCTTTCCCACTAGTCTGGGAGGACCCAGCTCATTTTTTGAGTCCTCGTTTGCTGATAAGAGTGACTCCAGCCTTGCCTGAGAGACAGTCGGGAGAGGTGGAGACAGTGGCCAAGTGGGTGGCACATGCTTCACTTACTCAGAGCCACTTCTACCCAACTCCAGCCGATCGCCGCCGAGTGGGGACACAAGCCCACACTTACCAGATCTTCCCGTTTTTCAAGAGAGCCGGACCGTCCAGGTTTCCTAGGAAATCTCCTAGTTTTCCAAGCATTGAAAGTCAGACAGATGTGTGTGTAGCCCGGGTGTGGTCAAGCACTTTGTAGCTCCAGAGCTAAAGGTTCAGGAGACAACTTCGTCAGGACTGTGTCCTGAGAGCTGCTCCTATTTGACGCTGGGTGCATTAGAACAGGCTAGCCCACTGGGTGCCCTGTGTAAATTCAAATGAGGAAGCTACCTCCCCGAAGACATGATTCTCTGGCACATGGTGTGGTGGCCTGAGAACTCTCTGGGCCTAGCAGAGGGCCTGGCACTTCACAGGGGCTTAAACATCTGTTATGTGAGCATGCACCCGGGAATAGAGATGCACTTGGGGGCCATTAGTCAGACTTCTCTGCCTCTCTTGGACTCTGTTTCTAAGGCCTCTTTCGTCTCCTGTGTCCCATGATTTCGGTGACTCATGAGAACTGCTTAGCAAAGGACATCTCTCTTGTTTTCCCATTTTGTTGATGCTGCCCTGTAATCATATTTTCATAGAGGTCTTTTGTCAGAGCAAAAGTATTCGAGGTGATTTTGTGGTTCCCTGGTCAGCGAGGTGCAGTATGTGGCTGAAAAGCAGACCTTTGCGTTTCCAACCCACCTGCTGGTCTGAAACGGGCTCGTGGAGCTTCAGAGAGTTGTTCCTGGTCACGTGGGGCCAGGGCTTCCAGACGCGGAGTTTCACGTTGTCTTCTTTCACCCTACACGATCTGAATGTTCTTTGAGGCTGGCTGTTGACCTTTGGCCAAGGTCCGTGTGTGCCCAGCTTGTAACATTCACTAACCTCTTTTGGATTTTTCCATACCTGTGAGCTGCTGGCAGCGTGTTTCCATGTATGGGGCGGTGTGCACAGAACGTCGTAAAAGGGGGTTCTGGGCCAGCGGTCTTCATCACCCACAGCGTCTCCTGTTCAAATCCCAGCACCACCTCCCGGCGTGTCCCGCAGACACCTCTGCATCTCGGTTTCCACATCTGTGCAGGGACGGGGGCAGAATCTACCTCATAGAGACCAGTTAAATCATTGTACAGTAGAAGAAAATGACAAGCACAACCAAACAGAAACAGTGCCTGGCACCTAATGAGTGAACAGTAAATGTTAGCGCTCTGAACAGTTACTTAGAAATAAGCTCAGGGCCTGTCATTTCGTTGGGAAGCTGTAGGGGGCCCTCGCGAAGCATAAACTGTGGAGAGAAGATGCTGCAGAGGCTGGGAGGGGCGGGGCCTGATCTCAGGGGCGGGGCCTGCAGGTGTGGGCGGGGTTGGCCAGGAAGGTCCCATTTTGGGCCCTGGGAGAATTCTGGTGAAGGGTAGGTCAGTCCTGGGGATCTGCCGTTGCTTTGGACACTTTGTTATTTCCCCAGTGGTGGCCTGGGTAGGATTCACAGCCTGCTCTCTGAGGTTCCTGGGGATTTTGGTGTTCGGGGGTCTTTAAAGCTGTTCTTTAGTACGTCCCCTTGCCTTATTAATGCTACCCCCAGGTAGCTGGTAGAGAATTAATACGCCTGTGAGGCTGAATGTCAAAGAGTGTGGGATGTGCCAACTAATGGAGTAAAAACTGGATTTTCTTTATTAAATCAGCTAAAATGTAAACTCTTGTATTCACTGAGCACAAGTAATTATGACAGATGGCAGAGCCAACTATGAGGTCAGCAGGCTTGTTCTTTTCTAGCTCCTCACCGGTCCTTTCTGGGGGCGCTCGCTGTTCCCCTCACCCGGACAGCTGGAAAGGTTGTTCTCCTCCTGTCTCGGGGGACTCTGGGAGCTTGCTGTGTCTCCAGGTCCTCTCTCCGGAGACCCCGATCTCCCCTGAGCAGACAGCTGCTCCTGTTCCAGCTCTCCCTTCCAGCCGCCTTCGTCAAGAAGTCCCGCCTCACTGGGACCTAAATGTGGAGCCCGCCGCAGGCTGCAGGCATGCTTCATCGAACCCGGTCCCGTGAAGTCTTGGGGTTCCATTTACTGAAATCCCAGTCCAGTTTAAAATTTTGATCCCACACTTAATTTGTGTCTCATCTCCCTTGTATCTAGTTGAAGTGCGGCGTGGCCCTAGGTCCCCGAAGTGGAGCCATGCTCAGTCAGCTTCCTCATCACCACCAGGGGTGAGGACTAGCTCTGGGTCCGTCCCTCCCTCCCTCCCTCCCTCCCTCCCTTACCTGAGTATATGTTTATTGATTTGAGAGACAGAGAAAGAAAAAGAGACAGGGAACATTGATGAGAGAAATACAGATCAGTTGCTTTCTGAATGCGCCCTGACCAGGGATTGAACCCGTAACCTTTTGACGTACAGGGCAACCTTCCAACCAAAGGAGCCACCCAGTCACGGCACGCCTTCCTTTTCATTATTCTGGGTCCAGTGTTTTGGAGGTTAGAGACAAGGAGCGGAATCAGAGAGGAAAGCAAACAGCTCTTTATTTAACTGGATACCCCTTTCTGCTAGTCACCACTACCTCTCTGGCTCTTATGGACGCTCTGCCCTCTGAGCAGCATGTGTGAACCTTGTGGAATCCTGCAGGACCTCCCTTTCCTGAGGCAGGAGGTGCAGCTGAGCCTTGCCTCAGGCTGCTGGGGGTTGGCGCTGTCCACCGATCCGCAGGAAATGCGTGCATCCCTGGTGTGCAGACAGTGTGGGTGTAGCATTCTGCCTCCTCTTTCGGTCCCGCCAACGCCCTTCGGTTCTCTGTTTCTTGCTGTGGTAAGTCTGGGGGCAGACCAGATCCAGTCTGAGTGGATAGTCACCGGGGGGGAGTGGATTGCCAGTCTCTCCTTGAAAGTACCCTGAATTTCTGTGCATGGTGCTCTTTTCCTTCAGTGAATCTCTGCCCATCTTAGAGATTAGCAGGGCAGAGAGGTGGGGGCTGGTGAAAATAGGGCCTCTCTGCCTCTTCTTAGTGATTTCTGAGGGAGACGCCCGTCTTAGGTCCGTACCTCTTAACCACGTGGGGCCCTCGTTGTCATCAGCTTTGAGTCCTAAAATCCAGTGTTTTCGGCACTGGAAAAGGCCTCCATGAATACCTCAATACTAAAATTAGACAGATTACAGTTCTGGTGCCTGTGGTTACAGTGGTTCTGGTCTCACATTTGAAGTGCTGTTTTAGGTGGTTCTTGGTGGCTCTGGTCTCAGGGGTTCTCTCTGGTGTTTTTTGGGCTGTGGTGTTGATTCTGATCTTAATCTAACATTCTGGTCTCGTCAGTTCTGCTAGCAGCAGTGGTGCTGGCCTCAGAGATCCTGGACATTTTGGCTCTTCTGGTCTCGATGGCATTTTCGTCTGTGTGGTTGTCATCATGGTGGTTATGAGTGGTGCCTGTCTTGGTGTCAGCCCTGCCCTTGGGGGCACTTCTCCCTGCTCTGACACCCCAAACGTTAATTCTGGCCTTCAGCTTTCTCTCTTGCCCCTGCCCCTTTGGTGGTCTTGAGGTACAGAGACCCCCCACCTCCTCCCAACCCCTCTTCTGACCCAGGAGAGGGAGGGTGGCTGACTCAGTCTGTGATGGTAGCCTGCGTCAGTTTCCTCATGAGTGAATTGGGGTCCCAGGGGGTTATGGTGAGTGACTCGTAAACACTTATATCAGCCTTTTACAAGAGCTTTTTCTGCTGCCAATTAATTTGTGGTAGGACTTTTTTTTTTTCTCTTTGCACCCTTTTCATCTCTTTCTCTCCTCACTCTCGTCTGCATGGTCTCCATAGCTTCTGATCCTCCTCCTTCAGCACTGCCGAGCCAAGTTCTGGGGCGCTTTTCCTGCCATTCTCTGTCCAGGGGAACAGGTTCGAGTGGATGACGGTTGATTGAGCCCCTTGCTGTAGCTTGATATTCTGTGTCTAGAGGCATTGACCACAAGCAGATAGACTATGCACATGGAACATTTAAGTTGTAGAAAAGTAGAAGATAGAGATAAAGGAAGGGAAAATCAAAATAAAAATTTTACCTGATACTACCACCCAGGTAACAACTACTATCATTTTCATGTGCAATCTTCCAGACTTTTTCCACGCATAACTGCGATGTAAATACATGTGTATGTTTTGGTAAGTAGGATCATGCTAAACGTACTGTTCTTCTACGTCACTTTTTTCAGTCAGTATATCATCCTCAGTGTCTTTGTGTCAGTACATATACAGCAGCATTTTCATTTGGAATGCATGGATTCATTGCACTTGGGGGTATACCACAATACTGTAATTTGTTTAAATGAACTATCTCTTTATTGGCTGTGTGAGTCCTTTCCAGGATGGTTTATACACTTGAGTTTGCTTTCAGCCACTTGCAATGAACATCTCATGCCCACTCTTGGCTCACTTATTTGAATATCTCCTTAGAACAGTTCTTCTTAGTGGAACGTGCCC